CAAATGTTACTCACAGAGATGAGCAAACATCACTCCCAGGGTGTGTGGTGGCTCTCACTTCAGGGATTCATAAACTGGAGGCTTCTCGGGGTGAGGAAGGATGATCTGCTGTGTGCACAGTGAGAAAGTCTTGGCTACAGAATCAGGGTTACACATTTTGGGATTGAACAGAAAATATGGCAATAGGTTTCAGTCACTTATACTTCAGTAAGTATTTACCTATGTTCTAAGCTTTTTTCATGTGTGTTTTACTGATTTTTTTACCTGACATCTAAATTCCCCGTTCATATACCATTTTAAAAATGCATGTATTAGAAAAGAAAAAAAGAGTGCTGCAAGCTCTTTTTTTCAGTTCCCAGAAAATTAAAAGCAACAAGACCCACCAAGGTTTGTCCGAATGTAGCTGGGTATTTCAGAAAATAGTGTAATGTGGCTTCCATGTGCCAGGTGGCAATTATCCTCTGGCCTTATAGGTTGTTTTCTTCAAAACTGGAGCTCACTCATACCACTGTGAATAGGATATATTGGACAAAAACGTTAAACATTATTTGATGTTTTTGACATTGGCTGTAAAGCTTAGTTTGCAATCAGCTGTTTCTCTGAATCCAAATAGTCTTTTCTAACTTCTAAATTCAGTCTGAGAGCATCTCACCACTTATGGGGAGAAAGTAGAAAGGAAAAAAGAAAAAGCAGTTTGTAAGATCTTAGCCCAAATCACCTGTGTGCAGATGAGGGCAAAGAGAAACAAAAAACAAAATCGCATGGACCAAGATCTTAAAAGTGAGCAATCGTCTTTCTTTTGATCTCTGCTATGAGGTGAGTTCAAGTGTTCTAACCTCTGCTCTTTGCTGCTCTCTGAAGCTCAAGCTACTTCTTAAAACTTCTTCTCTGAATATAGAAAAAAACATGAGGAATTGTTGGCAGATGTTGCTGGCATGTGGACTGCACTAACTTAGGGTGACTCAAGAGTCAGCATAATTCAAGTAGTATGGGAAGAGTGGGCCCCTCCCTCCAGGAGGGCTTGATTGATCACTCCTCTGCTAGAAGGAATCACAGAAAGGCCTGGGTTGGAAGGCACCTTCAAACTCACCCAGTCCTACTCTATGGCATGGGCAGGGCTGCCAACCCCCCCAGCTCAGCTGCCCAGGGCCCCATCCAACCTGGCCTTGAGTGTCTGCAGGGATGGGGCAAAATTTAAAATTTCCCACTGGTGACTCCCATGTGTCACTGTCTCTAAGTAAATTTGTAAATAAACAACTAACTAGTAGATAAATGCATGCTTCTCCAGTGTCTGAATTGTACCATCATCTACTGCTCTTAGAGGGAAAGCTAAACAGTGGAAGATGTTTTTCTTATGCACTTGCTTAGATGTTTCTGCTTTGGATATCAGTAAATAGGAAGGCTAGCTCTGAAAAGGAAGACATAATAGCATACTCTTCTGCAGCAGATTTTCTTCTGTGGCTATGAGGCCCTATTTATTCTCTCCGTTCATGCCTGCACATACTGTGCATCTTCTTCGCTATTTACAGGCCCAAACTGGATCTTTGACTCATCCTTGGAAGAGAAAAATAATAATTAAGCAGACTAGATAAAGCATTCTGTTTTCCAAGCATCGCAAGCAATAAGAAAGGAATAAAGTTGCTTTTTCTGAGGGAATTTTGACGTACTTGCTCCACAAGAAAAAAAAGTACTACCTAACTACTTTAAGACTGTAATTGCAGCTTCCACTGAGAGCTTCTGTACTTTCTGTGTACAGTGATTTCTTGCTTGGTTATGGCCAGGGTTTGGGTGGTGTTTTCTTGTTTCTTTTTCTCATCCTATTTCCTGATGAAGAGAGAACTGAGAGACTGAAATATTAATGCAAGGCATCAATGAGTGATCTACTGAAATTAGTAACAACTTACATTTTTCACTTACAGTGCTGTTGTTTTTGTGGTTGTTCTAAACAAGGATATATTCACACAGATGCAACACCTGTTACATTTGATCAGACAATCCTCACATTAAAATCTGATAACCTTTATCATCATGCCACTTCCATTATTTTTAGTTTAAAAAATATATATATACATATTTAACTGAAGTAGTGTTGCTACTTCTGTGTAAATCTTGGAACAGTTCTGGCTGTTATGGAAGTATTATGGAAGTACATACACTACTGCAGACTGACAACTAGGTTACTAGCTACCTAATTAGATGTTTCTATTGGCACTATTACTGTTGGACAGCATGATTTCTTGAAAGGGCTGTTAAAAATGTACCTAAATAATATGGTGCAATAAATCTGGACTATTGCATTTTGTAGAAGTACAGCTGATATGCCAACAGTTGGATATGAAGGTTAGAGTTTATAAATACATTTCCTAATGCATTTCAGTGTATTAACATTTGTACTGAATGTGTTCTATGAAGGATGCCTTTCTCGATGCCTATGTGTCTCCTAAACACATTTACACCTTTCCTTTTCTTCTTATATGCAGTTTGCAAATAAACAGTAGAACATCTGAAGCACAATTAGGGCATTTACCTATGATCTCAGTCTTGTCCAAGAAGCAGCCATACTCATAATGCAGAGATGCTGCCTTGTACTCAGTGAGGATACTCTGAGAGTTCAGGCAGAAAATAGCTTTTCCTTGAGAAATTTTATATAACTATCATAGCATTTCTTTTACGCTAAAATAAATATCTCTGGAAAAGAAAACAGATTTTGGAACACACAGATTTTATGCAGGGGTATAGCAGCTTAATCATTCCATCTTCAAAAGTATTTTGTGTGCAAGCCCATCTTTCTCTGCAACATGTAGGCAGGCAGATACAACAGAAGCAACTCCTCAGCTCTTGACAAGGACTGCGGAGGAAGCACTTGATGGCAGGATAATGGGGAAGAAGGTTAACAGGGGAAGACGAGATGGGAGGAAAACATACAAACAAGAGACAAAAAAAAGCAAACAATAGCCAAGAGGCAGTCTGGTAGTTTAAAGAAACAGTCAGAGTCATCTGGAGAAAATCAAGAGGTCAGTGCACAAAACTGAGCACTTGTGTCAGCTGCTGGTGTTATCAGGAAAGGTTCTGTTCTGGACCAGTCACTGTTTCTCTCTGTACTGCTAATGGTGCTATGAGCAGTCACATCTGATGCACAAAGGTTGAATTTCTCATCCACTTTCCAGTGTCAGTCAAACTAATTTGCTCATCTTTAATTTTGAACAAAACTTTGACGTCAAATCCACCACTGCATGTGTTATTCAACAAACAATTTGATGAATACATTCACAAAAAATGACAGATTTTTTTTTTAATACTTAAAGGCTTTATCTGCCTATTAATGCATGTGTTACGAATCACTTCTAGCGGCTGTTCTAAAAATCCAGCTTGAATGATGAAACTTCATGTTTCAAATCTTTTTTTGGCACACAGGAAAGGGCTATAAATTTACTTATTGAAAACCAAGTTCACTGTAATTTTGTTATTAAGAAAGCTTTGCAGAAAACTAACCAGCAGAATTACTGGAATGCTTTATTTTAATTGATCTATCTAAGGAGCATCCAGAGGCTTTTTAAAGGCTTTTTTTTTTTCTTTTTTTTTTTAAGAGCACACTGCAAATTTAGAGGACTAAAGAAGCATTTACTAAGAATACAAATACAGAAATACATTTGTCTCCCTTTCAGAATGAATAAAAACCTGTCATGCTTTCATGAGAACCTCATCCTCCAGGAAGCAGCACACACAACCCACCTCTTTCCCTGTGCCCCTACAAAGTTTTCACATAGATAGTAACAAATGAGGTATCTTCATCAGCGCAAACAACCAGCATCTCTGTCAGCACCAGGTAACGCTGCTCAGATACAGCTCATAAATCTTGCTGGAAATCACAAGAGAAGCAGAAGCACTGGTCTACTAATGACTTGGAACTGGGAGAACTGTGTGAAAGTCATTTCCAGCTGAGCTGCCTTCTTCTGGGGAAGGCTAGCCACTTCTTGCAGGGTCTCATCAATCCCCCTTCCAGCTCAGACAGTTTTGCAACGTATTTTTTGCCAGCTGTGTGCTAGCAGTTTGATAGCAAAAAATGTCATGCTGATGTTCATGTTGCTGTTTTTTCTGGTTGCCACTGACAAGAGAAGAGACATTGCCATCTGGATACTCTCAGTTGCTCAAAAGAATTGTTTCCACAAATTCAGAATTCTGACGTGGCAAATTCTGTGTGTTTTCTTTTTTCTTTTTTTTAAATTAGCCTTATTTAACATAGGACTTTGCCAGATTACTCTTTACAATTGCATTTTGTGACTGTTATATTCAATTTTGCAATGCACTGCAATATAACTAGATATTTTAAAGCATGAAACCATAACAAAAATTGTAATTGCAACAGAAAAACAATTTTCCCCTCTACACCATGTGTGTTTAATGTCAGTTTCCCTTTGTGTATGATGAAATGACACATCCATATTCAAAACCTGAAATACTGATGAAATCTCCTGAGCATCTAAAGCTGCAGAGCTGCTTTAACAAAATAAAAGAACTGTCATGTTGCAGGTTCGAAAATAAAACAACTCATCAATCTACTAAAAATCTGCCCACGGATTATAACACATAAACCAGCCATAAGGAAACCTGATGCTTTTCTCACTCAAGAAGAAACTCTCGCCACACCAAAGTCACTGAGAACCTTCCACAGATTTCAACAGGGTGAGCAGCTCAGAGATATTCAGGACTATAATTATGCTTTAAAATTAATTAAAATTATGCACATACTTTCATGAATATGAAAACCTGAACGGGGCAAAGGCTTAAAGCAACAATTGCAAATGAAGACTCCTAAAAGAACATGCTACAGTTTGAGATCGATGTGTTACTCAGGAAAAAAATCTAATTTTAACAGGCCAAACCTATAATTTTTTTTTTTCCATAGCATGTCAAAATCTCACATACCTGCAGATGTCACAAAGCACTGTTAGAAATGGAGACAGATTTTGCTGACTGAACCAAAGCATAGTTTCTCAGAGTCAGAACCACTGTTTATTTTGAAATTACTCCTACGCGATTATTATCCACTTAAAAGCATAAGCAAACCTTTGGCCTTGTAGCATCTCTCTAATCATTCATAGTACAAAAACAGAGGTTTATGGCATCCATAGATACTTACCAAAATAAAATACGTTTCATCTCTCAGTTTTGTTTGCAAATGTTTTATTTAAAAAAAAAATCTTTTAATGCTATTACTCAATACATGTGTAATAATACTTGATAAAGTATCACATCATAGTAGGTATTTTGGATTGAAGAACATTATGGTTTTAACTAAATTATCAACACTCTGTTCTGCTCTATTCTGTTCTAAATCGTCATTTTTCCAAAATTGAAGCAAACTCCTTCTTTGTAAAGGTACGTCATCCTTAAGGCCTTGCAAACTTTTTAGTGATTGAACCAAAACAAAGAGAGAGCTCAGCTTTCTTAATCTAAAGACCACTGTGCTCTTGAGCTTAAAAAAAGTGCCTGTGGTTTTCAAGCAGTTAGTGGCAAATCAGCAAGAAAGAAATTGGAGGAGAAGGAGCACTTGGAAATCAAGACAATTAAAGTGCACGGTTATACTGTCCGAAATTGTATTAAGCTGATCCCAAAAACTTGCTGGACTGTGGATATTTAATACAATTTGGCTTGCATGGAACATACAATCGGACAGAAGGATTTTCTTCCTGAAGTCATCTACAGGATTTACTGAATTCAGATTTTCAAGGGTAGCATACTGCAGCTCTTTGGATATAGACTGGTTTCCTAAGTCCACAAAAAGATAGAGAAGGGGGAAAGGTGTGGAGGGTTGCAAGGTGTCCTTGCAGCTTCTTGGTTTTTCAGATGCCAGTACTTTCCAGCTCCCCATCCTCCAGCCCTAATGCAGCGTGCGACCTAGAAATCATAAAGAGTTTCTCTTTCTTTGTGTACTGTCTTTGAATTTGCTGAGATTGCTCCCCTGTTTGTTCTGTGCTGGTAGCCTTGAGGGGGTCCATTTTCTCAACTGGTTCCTCCTCACAGTCCTGGATTTTACTGGCTGGGGTGTTGGCAACTGACTCCAAGGAGGTGCCGGCCTCCTCCAGGTGACTGTAGCCCTTATTGCTGCTGGAAGGCTCAGACTGTGAGCTCTGGGAGTCCATCCTGGTGATGGCAGGGGGAGTTGAGGGAGGTGATTCCCCCAGGTCCAGAGATCTGGAGTGGCTAGAAGACACCAAGAGGCTGGAGTCCAGGCCTCCCCTGACAGCTGAAGACCGAGGTGGCTCAGGGGAAAGGGGACGCCTGACATCAGGCAAGCAGCTGGTACTCTGCCGCCTGAGAACCAGCTTGTGCCTCCTTGTCCTGTAGCCTCCCTCGACGTGGCTGAGGTCAGTCAGGCTCAGTTCAAACTCTCCCCGTGGGATTTCCTGGGCTCCCCGCTCACCAGGAGGCCTCCGCCAGCCTCCGCCTCTGCCACTCTGTGCCAAGGGCAGAAGAGTGAAAGCACTCAATGAGGATCCAACAATGGAGCTGGCTGTGCTGCGCTGGCCCCAGCTCTCTGGTGGGCTGCAGGGTGGGCTGGTGAAGGTACGGCCAGTATGGGCAGCATGCTCCTGGTAGATGCTGTACACAGCCTCAGCCAAGCTGGGAGGCTGCGGCAAGGTGCAGAAGGAGGAACGCCGTGGTGAGGATGCTAGGTCAGGTGGGGAAAAGGAGGCAGCCAGCCCTGGCGGCCAAGAGCTCTTGGCCAGCATAGCCGCAGCACCCAAGCCTTCACCACTAGGCTTTAGCTCCAGGCCCCGTGACTGCACATAATTGACAAAGCCATTAAGAGGAGCTGAGGCACCCCCATCCTTTGCCCGCAAGCTGTGGGCATCAATAACAGTGGAATAGAGGTCACGCAGGTTGATGATCTTGGTCTTCTTGTCACGGTTCTCATGCAGTACTGCATTGGCACAGATGAAGAGGAAGATGCCAATACCCATGATGAGGGGGCCCAACACCTTCAGCTTGTCTGAATGCAAGTAGCTTGAGAAAAGACGGAAAAGGAAACCCACTGAAGCCTGGGGGGATGAGGAAGTGGGACGGGACTGCGGGAACTCCTGGCTGGTAGCAGCGGTGGAGTTGGCTCTGGGAGGTGACTCCAGGTAGATCTCAGCTTGTGCCCCTTCCTGGTTCTGGGAGCGGTTCTTGGGGGTGCCACCCTTAGGGGCCACGTGCCTGCCCCCACCAACTTCTCTGTATACCTGGCTGGGTTTGGGCCAGTAGCCCACAACAGCCAAGGCGATGCCCACTAGCAGTACTAGAATGCCACAGAGGGCGATGAGCCCTGAGATGGAGCACAGCTTGAGCTTGCCTTTCACAACCACAACATCATTTTTGCGTTTCTTCTTGGCCTTACGTTTGCGTTTGGGGATTTGGCTTTGTGGTCGCAAGGGATCCTGTTTCCTAGCTGAGATCCTCAGGAGGCCTCCAGTGGCGATCATGGCTGGTTACCCAGGGCACTGCTCCCTATAGCCACTCCAGCTCCTGCAGGGAAAAAGAGAAGAGGGTGAGGATCAATGACAAACCTATAGCACAACGGGTGTCTCTGTTTCTTGTTCGTCCTTCATCCTCCCATTAATTAAACCCCTCAACAAGTGGGTTAACACCAACAGGCTGATCTCTCTTGTCCGTACAGCTTCTGTATGTGAGAAAGACAGGCAGACTGATGACACAGATGATTAGGCAGTTCTGCGAAGAGAAGCAGCCATGTACCCCACTAGACCCTTGGCACACAGCTAATTAATTTCTTTATACTCCAGATAGATGGGGTAGTACCTGCTAGCATAAACAGAAAATGATCACGCTAGTCTCAGACAGTGCTTGCAAAACACTACGCTTCAGAGGAGGCTGACAGCTTCCCTACCCTGAAGCCCCATTCCCACAGGTCTGGGGTTATGCTACACAGCAACTTAACCACACTGTGGTTAATGATGTAATGCAGGAACTAGATGTGAGGGTAAGAAGAAAATAAAAGCAGGAAGGATTACATCTATAGACACCATTCATTTTACTACGCTATTTGTACATTAGTGGGGGAGAGGTAAGCATATTACCTTTCCTAAATGAGTGGAAAAGAAATTACTGTGAAACATACAAGGGAAACCAGAATAATAGAAAGCAGTACCCCGTGAAAGTTTCTTCCAAGCCACTTCCTTAGAATTCTATCTGCAATATTTCAAAAAAAAATTCATCACTTGCCTGTGGTCAGGGAGTGTCAGCTGGACAGCCTCCTGCTTTGGGAACATGTATGATGTTCAGGGCAACTGTTATGCAACCATGGCCACATCCCCCCACCTCCAGAGAGGGGAGATGGTGGCTGGTAGGTAGCATGTCACATCTTATTAAAGGAGGAGCAAACCCCTGCAAATCACCTGGGGAAAAGGCAAGGATTGCTTGCAGAGAAACTGGCAAGTGACTGAACAGCTATCATTTATGGCTTTTATTTCACCAACTGTCAGGTCTCATATGTGTGTTCCAGTGACTGGAGCCACAAAATGCACCATGTAGGAACAATTCTGCGCTGTTGCAATTTTTTTTTTTTTCCTGGACTCTACCCCTCATGTTTCTGAGAAGAAGGCTCCTCACCCCCTTTCTAACTGTCCAATTTGGGGTGGTTTAGCTTTGTTTTTTCAAGGGAGCAAAAAGATGACAGCACTGAATATAATCTGGTTTATAAAGTTCAATTAATTGCACTGAAAGATGATTAAGCAAGCACCTACAAAAAAAAAAAAACAAAAAAAACACACACACACAACAAAATACTTCTCATCCTTCCTCTGTTTAGCTTTTAGATCTCATTTTTCCCCTCCTCTATTCCCAGATTTTACATGCAGGTGAGGATTCTGTGCCCCATTTACTCCTTTTGAATTTTTTGCTGCGAGCGAGGATGTCGTTAAATTACTCTCCGAGGTACGGCGTACTCAAAACAAAGGGCAGGAACGAGAAGTCTCTTATCACCAAACTACTTACTTTAAAAACAAAACAAAAAAAAAATGCAGAAGAAGAAGGAAAAAAAAAAAGCATTTTTTGTCGGTGCAAAAGTGTAATTACCGAGGCAGGATTTGCTGTAATCGCCGCTCGCTGATCTCATTCCTTCTCCTGCCCCCCCGACAGGAGCCGGTCTCCTCCACGACGACGAAAACAGATGGCAATCATTTCGGAGCTGCCTTCCTGAGCCAGTACCGCCCGGCGCTGAGTTTTTCCCGTTTAGAAAGGAGCGCAGAGCACGTGAAGGAGGGGACCGCCACGAGAGCACCAGCGACGGCAACGGAGCAAAGCAACGCAGAGGCTCGGGGACACTTCCAAAGGCTGCGGAGCGAATCCACGAGCCGATGGCGGTGCGCAGACAGCTGCCGCCCCTCACCGAGCGCCGCCGGGCGCCCCGAGCCGCAGTTCTCACACCGTTCTGACGGACGGACGGGGAACCGAAGAGGAGAGAAGCCGGGCTTGGCGCCCGCCCCTCGGGTACCGCTCGCGGAGGGAATAAGCGGCTTTCGGGAGTCGGGCTGCCGGGCTGCTGGACGCTGCTCCCGGCGACGGGGGCCGGGGTCTCCCGAGCACCGCGCAAAATGGCAGCGGCGCCGCCGAAGGCTCCGCGCCCACTTACCGAGTAAGACCGGCGAGAGGTCCGCGGCCGGGCCACAGCGGGGAAGAAACTTTCCGGCCCGAGCGGGCATCCCCGCGTGGCGCCCGCCCCGCCGCCGCCTCGCCGCACCTCACCGCCCCGGGCGGGCGGGCGGCGGGGCTGGGCCGAGCGCCGGGCTCTCCCTCGGCCCCGCCGCCGCCGGCCGCCTCAGGTCGCTCGTCGGGAGCGCTGCCCCCGCGCCGTGCCGCATCCTTCCCGCCGCGGGGCCGCCCCTCGGCAGCGCCCGCCCGGCGGAGCCGCTGTCTCTGCCGCTTAGGGCGGCGCGCGGCTGCCGCGACTGGCGGCCGGACTCGGAGCCGTTGCTAGGAGACGGAGCCGTGACACAGGGAAATGGCTGCAGGACGGCCACCGCCGCCCCCCCAACCCGCGCACCTGCGCCCGCCCGCCGCGGCCCTGCCCTCGCACGGCCCGCCCCCGGCCGCCCGGCCCCGCCCCCGGCCGCCACGCCCTGCCCCGCCTCGGCCCGCCATGTCGTGCGTGCTGAGCCGGCGGGGTCGGGTGCCGTCCGGCGTTCCTTGTCCCTTTGCTTTGGGCGGCTGACCGTGCTCCTTGTGGGAGGTTGGAGATGCGCTGCTCCTTGTCGTGCCTGCCCCACGGCCACCCCTCACTCCTTGTGAGAGGAATAGGGCACTCCCGAGCACAGGTGTAGTAGTAGGGCTTGGAGTGAGCGTCCTGTCTTGTGCTCGGCTGTGGTTGTTTTCCTGGTCCAACAAGCAGCTGGCCACGGGAGAGGTATAGTGTCTCTTCCTCTCCCTTCTTCTTGGCCTATCATTTAGCATCATGGACTCTCCCAGGCTGCCCAAGGGTTTGTTTCACCAGGTGGCCCTCATCCTTTGCCAGCTTTCCGATTTAGGAACTCACCAGCTGTGTGAAATCATAGAATGATGGTATTACCAAGGCTGGAAAAGACCTGCAAGAGGATCCAGTCCACCTGGCCATCTACCACCAACATTTCCCCACTAAATCACATTCCTTAGTACAACAGCTACATGTTTTTTGAACACCTCCAGGGAATCTTCCATCAGTGATGTCCCTGTGCCCTCACAGCCAGTTGTCTCTGCATCTATTTAAAGAATGTTCATCTTGAACACAGATCTCAAATAACAGTACAGAGGATTTAAAAGGGAGAATGGCACATGCAGCAAGATCAAGATATTTTTTCCCTTGAGTTTGCAGGAATGATGAGGAAGACAGCCAAGAAGCAGATGAGAAGATGAAGAAAGCAATAAAGGAAGGAAGATGAAAAGTCAGAACTGAGATATGTCAATGTGGTCACGCTGGATCTCACATTTTCTGCAGAGACCAGGAAACAGCATTCTCATCTGGGCATCTTTGTGGAAATTTTGATTAAATGGAAGCCACATCAAGCTGTCGCACAAGTGAGATATAATCTAGCACATCCCATCATACTGCTTGTCTTATTTATTACAAGAGACTGCACTTCATTGCTTTAGTAGAGCCTTCTTAGAGGTTCACTGTGAACTGGGAAGGGAAATCTTAGGCAGGTATCTCAAAATGTACTGAAAACTTGACCTGTGAAACTTGGACTTCCTACAAACATATATTGTGTGGTTTGCTGGGGTGGATGAACGGAACCCACCTTTTTTAAGTGGTCTTGGATAACTACTGAAGCTGGAGTGTGACCTAGCCCAGGCCAAAACAGCCCTCTTCTACCTCTGCTTGACCTCTTTTTGCATGGGAGAGCTGTCCTTTTGTAACAACCTGCCAGGAACCATAAAGCAATAAATATAATTGTTATGGTTCCAAATTGTGATGTTTTGTTTTGGTTTTTTTTTAAAGATCCAACACAGGGTGACAAAATTGTAGGAGAGATGATGAATATTCATTTAAGTTTTATATATTCCAGCCTCACTGATTCTGTAGTTCTATGAATTTTCATCCAGACTGCTGGTGCACGCTGTTTACACCCAACTATCAATGCCTGATTTGAGAACAAACAAATCCTAAATCTGTACATATGCGTTTTGATCTCAGTTGCAGTCTGTCTACAGAATCACTTGGGGCACATTTCTTTTAGCACATATATAACTTTTGGTTATGCAACAGGCTTGAAATTTAAGATTTATTATTTAAGAACATCTTATAAAAGTCTGCTTTGAACACTCTCACTGAACCTGAGCCTTCCGACATTCGATAATTTGCATTGTGTTCAGCCCAGACTATCACAGAAATCCAAACATATCACATCTGTTTCCACTAGAGACCTGTATCACATCAATAATGCAGCATCATCAGACTCTCCCTGAAAAGCTCCTGTGTTAGAGGGAGAACAAGAGTGAGTTTTTAAAGGGCAAAGAGCTCTTTTCCCTATCTGAGTCACATTTTCTATTTCTGTCAAACTAAACCATTCTATTTAGCTATCATTTTATACAACAGCCTTTCCATATTTTCATTGCTAAAGTTTTGAGTGATTAGGCTATCATCACATTCACAGTTTTCAAATTACTCCTTCCAAAATTTGATGTAGGTGAGTCCAAATCCTGGAAAAATAGCAATATGTTCTTGGATGAAAAGCTACTGAAGATGTTATGCAGTAGCAAGCAATGCAGTCATAATTGACTCTGCATGGTAAGGACTTTGTAAGCCTACAAAGGCAGGCTGAATCCCTTAGAGAAAGTTACCATGCTGAGTTACACATCCTTATGCATCCTACAAATTCTTCTTGTTCTTTAACAAATACATTGGGAGCTTTAATGAAACATTTATTTTATTTTTAATTGACATGGATTGTGTGTTCCCAGAAGTGGAATGGTTGCAAAAGACAGCTTTCCTATTAGTCTGATTTACTAGTTGCTTGAGTTAATCTGTTACTCTGTAGTGTTTGAGCACTACTGAGCACTGCTGGCAGTTTCAGAATAAGCGTTACCTTTCTATAACTTAATGCATGATGATATTTATCATTAAACTGTGGTGCACTTAAATATTTATTAGGAATTGCAAAAAAAAGCTATTAGACCTGGGTTTCCTTTGTCCTCTCCTCTCCTCTCCTCTCCTCTCCTCTCCTCTCCTCTCCTCTCCTCTCCTCTCCTCATTTTTAAGCATATAGTTGTTTTCTTTATATTGTTTGTGCATAAGATGATAACCTTCACATGGTCCTTCTTGGAAAAGGACAACCACACCATCAATTTTAGTATATCCACGTGAATAAGTTCCACTCCAGGCTGGCTAAATATGTCAGCTCAAATCCAGGAGATGTGTAGCCAAGTTAATATATCTCAGCTCTCAGCAGGCCCAAGGTCCAAAAATGATTCAAAGGACAACCTGAAGTACTTGGTGTACTTACAGAAAATATTGCAGGGTCTATGTAATCCAGCCATGGACCAGGAGTAGAGATCCAGGGTAGAGAGAGACCTTACAAAACAGAGAACAGGCCCTTACTAGATATACTGGCAGACTGGGCACAAGATGAAAAAAGATTCTTTGACAAATGCTATTAAAAGCATAAGAGAGAGACATACTGCACAGACTTTAGGTTTTCCTCAGTGATTTATCTTCACAATTTCTCAGACACAGAGTAACAGAAGACTTGAAGGGTCATTTCCATCTCAACCTACATCCTGCTACAGAGCAGAATGGCTTCCAGTCATAACAGTGGCTCTAGACTGAAAGCATGTTTTAATTTTACATTTAGCCTTAGCTAATTTATTACAATTATAAAAATAAGAGCTAATGTACATTTTGTACGTGTGCTTCCCAAGTATACTGTGCTGCATGCTAAGATTTACTGAGTCTTTGTTGCTGGACTTCATAGTCTCATCTTATTCAATAGCTTAAGAAGTTGTAAGAGCATCACCCTCAGCTTCAGCACTGGTCTCATAGTGTATGCTCTGCCCCATGTGAGCCCCATGTACTTTTTTTTTGTTAATATGTTTCCCATATCAGTGGAGATTCTGATTTGATTAATGACAGAGACTCTGTTAGGATTAACGATGATTTGACAAGCAGTGCAAAGTAGCACTGTGAATGAGTTATAAGAAATCATTTTCACTGAGAAAATTTATGTTTGAAATCCTTATAGGCCTACAAGAAACAGTGCTTCCTTATTGTTTATTAGATTCATCTGGCTTATTTGATACATGGTAGAATCAGAGGCAACCTTTCATTGCTCAGCAAACCTGAGTCTAGAAAATCCACTGAGAGTGAATAGCAATTTGCATGTCTGCACTTCTTTCAAAGTTAATTACAGCAGAGATACACATTGCTGGGAACATTTGTCAGGGTGAAGGATCTCACAGCTATGAGATCTGGTGACTGAAAGGTAAAGGGTAAGATGGTGTAAGATGTAAGATGAACAATTTTTAGAGAAAAAAAATGAACTGCTTGTTAATCTCACTTCTCAGTGACAGTCAGTTCTTCCTGACAATCTCTGTGAATAAATTTTTTTTTTTGAGACATTAATGAGACTTGCCAATTAAAAATGTACATATTTATAGAGTCGCATCTTGCAGAAAGTCTGAAACTAGAGGAGAC